ATGGCAGCAGAGCTATGAACGTTGCTCGTCATTGAAGAATCAAACCTAGAAAGATCTAGACTCAGTCAAAGAATGAAGGGGAAAGAGATGGAGGGGCAGTGGCAATTAAGATTTTTAGGGTTTGCTGGAAATTGAATAAGAATAATAAGAGTAAAATAATAAAGATAAAATAAAGGGAAAATAATAATAATAATAATAATAATAATAATAATATAATATGAATAACTTAGCCAAGTTAGGGTTTTGTTGGTGATGAACGAGAATGGTGATTCGATGATGATGATAATAATGATGATGATGATTTATACATAGTTGTCCTACGAACCCTCCTAGCCGTAATTGACTAGGCAAACTCGATAGTCGACTCTAACCATCCCCCCTAATCGCAATGAGAAGGCAAACCGAAGTGTGAAGATCTCCCTCACGAAGAACTTGAAAGAACTTAATGGTGAAGAATGCTACGAAGGCACAAGGAAATCAGAACTTGCAAAAATGAACTCTCGTTGTATTATATTCAAGAAAATATGTGATTACAATGGTGGGAGGAGCCTCCTTTATATAGGGTGAGAAGTCCTTGTTGTAACATGACTAATGAATAAAAGATAATGTTTTGAGTCTATCATAATTCCTAATAAAATAATAATAAACTATGAATAATATTTTAACTTCATCTTAATTCTAAATAAAATAATTAATCTAATTCTAAAAGATAATGCATTTACATTATATTACAAATAATTAATAAAATATTAAAAATTTGTAATATTTAGAAATTGATACTTTAAGGGATTTTAAAAATATGTTCAGAATTGTCTCTAATTATGTCATTAATTGATCTTGAAGTTATGTCAACTTGAGTTGTTAAGATCCAAATAGATGTAGTAGGAATGAGTAATAAATTTCCTTCGTTGAATTCTTCAATTTCTATGTGAGCATGAAGTCTCTTGCTAACAAATATTTGAACCAAGCTTGTCTTTCAGAAGTTTAGATTTGTCCCGTGTGATTTGACCAATTGAAAGAGTTAATCTATCTTCTTTTGTCCTATTATGTGTCGTGCATGTATCACACTCTCTCTGTATATAATTTGGATATAATTTAGATAGCAAATTGTAGGGAAACTTCAGCCAATAACATTGGAAGTCGTGTCCTGAAAACTATGAAATAGTAAGATAAGATTTTATTTTTAAAAAAATAAAAGTAAAAGCACACGTGGAGGAAGAGAAGAGGGTGGCGAAAAATCCAATAAACCCTAAATAGTAAATAGAAAAGGTTAGGGCCATCTATCAGTAGCCCAACCAAAAAATTTCACCTTTGATCTACATTCATCTTTCCTCTATTTTCTCTCTCTAAAATTAAAATAATATTTTTTCTATTATTTTTAAAGATTTAAATAAAATAATATTTTATCTAAAGAGCTTTTTCCAATCTAACTTGATCAAAATATAATCTCTCTGTATTGATACTCAAATTGACCTTAAATTCGATTAGACTTGTAAGGTGTACATATTTTTAATTTTTATTAAATAAAACATAGATTTAATTAAAAAATATAGAAGAAGAAATATTATAATAATTATTTATAAATATATAAAGATTGATTATATTATTATTTTTAAGATTAATAAAATATTTTTTATTTCAAATTTGAATTCAATCTAATTATATCTTTAGAAAAATTTGATTCGAATTCAAATTTCAAGAAAGAAAAGATTGTATAGAAACAGGTTGGATCGAAGTTCGTTGGATTTGGATTTTCATTTGTAATTCTAATAATTAAATATTAGTTCAATTAATTTTTTTTTTTTTGAAGGTTTTGAATACGACTAGATTTTAATCTAATTGTATTTGATTTTAAAGTTCTTAAAGATATTTTTGAAAAATAAAATAATGTTTCTTTAAATAAGATTAGAGTTTGAATTTTTTATTTTAATATTATAAATAAAACAAATTAAATTTAAAAAATCATAATAAATTTTAATAGTAAAATTAATATATCAATAAAATAAATAGAGATATTAAATATTAACGAGATCAATTCAAATTGTAACTAATAAACAACGAGATGTTAAAGGAGTTGGATTTGATATATCTTGTATATGTATAAAATATTCGCATGAGACTCGACCAGTAAAATTAAATGTTATAAAGATCTATATAGATCAATCAGGATAAAATTTTAAAAACGGACGAGTATGCTTGTAAATGAACTGAACGTTCAGTGAACCGTTCATGAATCATGCGGCGGAAAATTCGTTTATGTTCGTTTATTTATTAAATGAACGAACATGAACAAGATTTTGCGTTAGTTTAATTAAATAAACGAACATGAACAAAGGGTTCGTTCGTTCATTTATGTTAGTGAACGTTTGATTATATGTTCGTTTATGTTCATTCATTTATGTTCATTTATGTTCGAACAGAGGGCAAGTTGAATATGTTTCGAAGATTATTGAAGTTGTTTGGATTTCAAGAAGATTGTTTTGTTAAACAAATTAACTTTAAGACTTTATTACGTTCATATAGTTTATTTATGATTTATGTATGTTTTTTTCGTATTCGAATAAATTAACTCTAAAGTTTCAGGTTATATTAATGAATTTTAAGTTGTTATTCTTGTTGTTTACTTTTTTTACATTCATTTATTGTGTTCGAATAAGTTTGTTTTTTGTGTTTGTGTTATTCGTTTATGCTTGTTTTTGTGTTAGTTTATGTTCATTTATTATGTTCGTTCGTTTGTGTTCGTTTATGTTCGTTTATCATTTAAATAAACGAACATGAACAAGTTATATTCCTTAATGAACGAACATGAACAAAAAAAATTTTGTTCGTTTATGTTCGTTTATTTATTTAATGAACGAACATGAACATACCTCCATTCGTATGCATTCGGTCTGTTTACATACAGTAATAAAAAATAGAGATATTAAATAAAAAAATATTCTACAACTAAACCTAAACTTTGTCCCTCTCTCTCTCTCTTCGGTCACCAACCTGATTTTCCATATCCTTTTACGTGGCAAATCCTGCATTGGAGTTATTTACTTTCACATGTATTTTCTCTATTTATTTAATTGCTACCAGACAATTGCTTGATGCTTTTCTCTTTGGGTTAATTACTTCATAGATGAATTATACTCAATTTTCTGTTTTATATATAATGATTAAAAATTCTCAATTTCATACATAATATTTTTTATCGTTAATGAGTTCACTCATTTTCGTCACAGAAGATGATGTGACACTTTAAATGAGTGCCACGTGGTATTCCCGTCACCCATTTACGAAGTTCCACGTGACATTTTGTTAAGGGTTTCACGTCATATTTCGTGACAAAAATGAGTAAACATATTAACAATATATATAAAACTAAGAATTGGGTATACTAATGGAGTAATTAACCTTTTTTTCTTTCTCCCTTCCAAACATTCATCATAATTTTTTTATTTAATATTTTAATAAGGGTTAATTTTATCCAGGTCCCCAAATTGGGTTCAATTTTAAATTAAACTCTAAATTTTAAAATATTGTAATTGGATCCTTAAACTAATATATCATTTTAATTAGGCCCTTTCACTAATCTAATAATCAACTTTAACATTAAATATGGTTAAACATGTCACATCTAAACTTGACATCAAGTGTTAAAAATGTGAAAGATGGTAATTGAATCATGGATGTGAATGTGATAGTTAGGCTCGTAAGTTGTTTAACTCCAAATAAAGTTCTAACTAGATTTAGACATTCTTTAATCAAGCTATTCAACGTGTCGAATTTAAGTATTTTAATACTAGAGTAGTTTTAGAACTTTTTGTTTTAAAAATAGTTCAGCTCAAATGAGCCATCAAGTTTAGCTCGAGCTTTGATATTAGTTTCCAATCGAGTCAGCCCGAGCTTCTCACTATTCAAACTCATCTTGACTAAGATTGATTCGAATCCAGCCCAAAGCTAGATTGAAAGAAGTATCTGATTGGAAAATATTTTATTTCGAGGATTCAAAATGAAACAAATCAAAAACTATGGAAGGGTTTAAATTCAACTACAGCTTAAGAAGGTCGGGTGCAATTAACCCTTAAACAATTCCAAGTCTCGGGATATTTCAACTTTTTCGAGAATTTTTTTATTATTATTTTGTCATGAGCTTACGTGCAGATTCTTTGTGCTAGTTTAATTCGTTTCTCTAACATTATGTAATGTTCCTTTGTCGAGTAATAAGGACAGGTGTGCTCCTTCATCATGTTCTTCTCTATTCTGTGTCATCCATCATTATTCCTTTCTTCTCTCCCTTTTCATTTTATTTTCCAAAATTTTTTTAGCTTGATTTTCTGATATATTTCAGTGTTTCAAATCATCAAGCAAATTCCCTTTTGTTCCGGTTTGATATGAATTGCCTTAGATCCAGGGAACGGATTCTGGGTTTGTGTTTTTGTCCGGTATTTTGTTCTGAATTATTCTTTTTGCATGTTCACATGTGCTTCTAGTTCTATGCCCACCATTTGTTTGATGAAAAGAAGAGTCCAGATATATGAAAGGTGTATTTAGTCTCTAGGGACATCCCAAGCTTCACTTTCATCGACCTTCCCTTGTATCATTACACCTTTTTTTTCGGATTTTCCGATACTTTTCCAAGTTGCATTCGATCGAAAAAGAAGGGGATAAAGTAGTTTTGAGCTGCTTGTTGAAGGTGAAACGAGGATCATGGAGGTATCCGCAGCAATTGCTGGTCCTTGTGCTGTTTCGTTAGGCGATGTGGTTCTTAGTAATGGCTGCAAGCTCATTGCGGAGAAGTCGAGCTTGTTATCGCCCTAAGGAACCGAGTCGGATCGAGGCGATAACGGAGTTGTTTCGTCCGATAGTTGTATTTCTAGAGAATATAATCATGAAGGAAGCGAGGTTGAGAAAATTTCAGCTTTAGAGGTTAATTCCGATAGAATTTCATCAACTAGTGATGTTCAAGATGTGAAGACAGCTGCAGTTGGTTGTGCCGGGGATGATGACAAGAAGTCCAACGAGTCCGATAAGATATCGTCGGACTCGATTCTCGAGGTGCCTCAACAAAAGAAGATAAGGAAAACTGAAATCGGGTGTTTGTTTGAATTAGGGAACATACCCCTATGGGGATTTACATCCATTTGTGGTAGGAGACCAGAAATGGAAGATGCTGTTGGTGCCATACCGCGATTTTTGCGAGTCCCTAGTCGAATGCTGAAGGCCGAAAGCGTAGCTAAGGGAACGCATCGTGGTTTAAATGATCTAACGGCTCATTTCTATGGTGTGTACGATGGACATGGAGGGTGTCAGGTATGGTTCACGACCTTATATTCTGTGTTTTTGCTAATTTGGTTTGTCTAAACGAGATTATTTCGATGCATAGGTTGCAAACTATTGCCGTGAACGTATGCATTTGGCTTTAGCCGAGGAGATAGAGATGGGAAAATCATGCATTCAAGAGGGAAATGTCGAGCAAGACTGGCAGGAACAATGGAGGAAAGCATTCTCCAATTGTTTCATCAAAGTCGATGTTGAGATTGGAGGGGTTCGTAAAGGTGAGAACGATACCGATAACGAGCGTATTGCCCCCGAAACCGTCGGCTCTACTGCTGTAGTCGCAGTAGTTAGTCCAGCACATATAATTGTTGCCAATTGCGGCGATTCGAGGGCAGTTCTCTACCGTGGAAAACAGCCTGTGCCGCTGTCTGTAGACCACAAAGTAAGACTTACCTATTTCGAGTTTTCTTTCCACTGGACATGCAAATTTCAAAGACACTGTTGTTTATATTGAGCCTTTTACAGCCTGATAGAGAAGATGAACACGCAAGGATAGAAGCTGCGGGAGGGAAAGTCATACAATGGAATGGATCTCGTGTTTTCGGTGTTCTAGCAATGTCGAGGTCCATCGGTATGTGTTTATACTGCTTACCATCTTAGGACATATATTAGCCTTTTGCTGTGTCGGCTGTATGTGTAATTCCGGATCCTTTGATCAGGCGACAGATACTTGAAACCATGGATAATTCCAGATCCGGAAGTGATGTGCGTACCTCGAGCCAAAGAAGACGAGTGTCTTATCCTAGCCAGTGATGGCTTATGGGATGTCATGAGTAGTGAGGAAGCTTGTGAAGTTGCTCGAAACGAATCCTCCTAGGGCATAAAAAGCACGGGGACAAATTAACCGCAGAAAGGAGGGACGGAGTTGACCTGGCTGCTCAATCTGCTGCGGATTACCTCTCGAAGCTTGCTCTTAGTAAAGGAAGCAAAGACAATATTACGGTCGTTGTCTTGGACCTAAAAGCACAGAGAAAGTTCAAGAAGAAAACCTGACAGCAAGGGTACCTAAAAAGCTTTCTTTGTATTGTTTTAAAGTATCTTTGTACACTGCATCATGCAATATACTCAATTAACTTGTTCATTTTACTGCCATCATTAATAGCTACCACAACTGGTTCGGTCAAAATAACCCAACTCTCTTTTGGATTTAGCTCCGTTTTCTAAATTTAACATTTAAGTGTTGAGAAATTATCCCTTCAAATGAAATGCATAGAGGAGCCGAGTCGATCGGAATATAATACCATGATTTGATGGCTTACATTTTGCAAACACACAACATTGTCTTTCAGTTATGGAATATTAATACACAGCAATTAGTTGTAACTCACCACTGCGATCTGATATTTGAGTTCACTGGCAGGAAATTTTCTCTATTTTTTTATGCCTAACTTCGGGCCTTGTCATCGTAACAGCTGCTCGAATAAGTCCCAAACGACAATACGGGTCTTCCATGGTTCTAAAACTTCGGTTTTTGGTTGACATGTTCTTTGTGGATACGTTCGGCCTGAAGGCTGGACTCTACCAAAAAGAAGCTAACTGTTGGTTTCACTTAAAAAGGTTTCAATACAATACAAGCATGAATAGCTCATATCGTTTTAGCATTAGAACTTTAATTACAAAACTGGAGTTCTGAAGTAGTGGATAGTAGTCCCATATAAGAGAACTGTACCACTAAACCTAAAGCATAGACATACTGCAGAAGTTCTAAAGCGGTGTAAGCGGCGATCCGGCATTGTAGAAGTAAGAAGAGAGGTTGACGTCCAAGTCATCATACATGTTCAAGAAAGGAAACGCCTGCATTCACATTCAAACATCCAATAAGCAATGTTTAATAGATATTTAATCAAATTCTTACTGGTTGAAACAATGGTGCGATAGCGGAATCTGGATGTTTCGATACCAGCAATTCGTGTGCCGACTTTCTTTCCTTCGGGTCCTTCTGTACGCTGCCATGGATAAAAGAACCCAAGGCAGGGCTATGTAAACTCATATGATCAATGAAAATGTTTGAACTTATTACAGCACTCGATGACTAGATACTAAGCAAGTGTATCGAGTAGTAAAAAGTAATCTTACCATGCAGAAATGAACGAGCAAAACTTAGAAGAATATTGATCTGAAGGTGCACAAGGTGGCGGTTGTTGAACAATTTGTTCCATGAGCTCAAAAAAATTCGTCCATCCTTCAGCCTGGTCCGGCGGGGAATATGGGAACTGACCAGTCGCACATTCGAGCAACACTAGCCCCAAGCTCCAATGTCACTTTTATTGCCGTAATTGCTACCACTAATTCTCTCAGGCTACAACAGAAGCAAATAGGAAACAAACTATAATGAAACTCACCTTAACGACTGAAAAGAATCAATATTCCGGCACGGTAAATTACTTACCGACATATAGTTGTATGTTCCGACAAAAGTGCTAGCTAATCCGGAGGTGTTCGTCATTATCGCACTAACACCGAAGTCTGTAATCTTAACTTCTCCTCTATGATTTATTAACAAGTTAGACGGCTTTAAGTCCCGGTGGATGATGTGTTTTTCATGATGAAGATATATCAGACCCTTGACCACCTGCATTAACAAGAGCAATCACAAAAAGCATATACCATAAACATCTGCTACGTAGTATAATGAATTCGAAATCTCTAATGTACCGACCTGCTTACAAATTGCCGCGAGATACGGTTCGGGAACGGATTTAACCTTCTTCAAGAAATCCGCTAGGGATCCACCATCCATATACTCGAAGATGATCGAAATGACACCGTTGTTAAAGAAAGACTTATAACAAACGACGACGTTCGGACACTGAGATGACTGGTTTATTTTCAGTTCCTTTGCGATCTGCTTGCGTGCCGACTCCTCGATGTTCATTTGAATAACCTGGTAACGATGGAACAACAATAATATCTACTTTAGAATAATTGCTATCTATCAAAGCAAGAAAGGTTAGAAATGCTTCATTAATTAATAGTGTAACCGAATTCGGTACCGACTGAGCTAAGATTTCGTCGGAAAAATATATAAAGTGTTATTAAGCTTGGCATTTAGACATATACCTTCAATGCGAAAAACTGCTCCGTCCATTTGTGTTGGACCAGTTGCACAATTCCACCATTACCTTTGCCAATAACTTTAATCACATCAAAATCTTCTAAATTCAACTGATCTTCATTTTCAGTTTCTGATGGCTTAATAAGCTGAGGCTAAAATCAATGGAAAATTTTAAAACAAATCTAGAAACAGGAAAATCTAACAAATCAAGCTTATAAATTAAAGAAGAAGAAAAATCAAAGAATCTAAACAATGAATTTTAAAAAATGAAAAATCATACAAGTGCAGGATCGGATTGAGAGATGATTCGAACACCTTACTTGTTGACGAAGAGATCACCGTCTTTGAACGTACCGCTTTGAGTACTGCCATAAAAGATTAAATTACCAGAATCAAACTTTCAAATAAAACTGAAAAAAAATAAAGGACGTAATGAGAAAATTATGATTACAGAAAATTTTCGAAGTAGGTCTCAGCTGGAGGAGGAAGAGAGAGGTTCAAATTAGGGTTTAAAATTCCCTTTCCTTTCTTCATCATTTCTCTTTCTTTTTTGCTGTTTGTTAGCAGAGTAATTGAGAATTAATCTTCCTTTCTTATAAGGATCTTAGATTTTACACAGAGTGAGAAACAATATTAATTTTCTTTTAAAGAAAAAATAAAATTATTAAAAGGATTGGAGATTGTTTCCATGGTTGATGCTTTGACGAAGGAGACCAGTCTTCACCAGAACATAAGCCACGAGGAAGATAACTTGACTCCATTTTCTCTCTTACTTTTCTTGAACTTACCCGCGCCTTTTTCCGGCGATTTTCCCTATATGTGATCGGTAATATTATCGATCTAACACCGATTAGATTATATTTTTTGATCTAACACCTTTAGCAGTAAAGCGCGCTCCCTGCATCGAATTATACGATGATTTGGTGCCATGTGATGTATAGTGCGCCCCTGCACCGCGCTATACGGTGAGCTGGCGCCACGTGAGTATAGCGCGGCCCCTGAAGCGCGCTATACATGTATATCTGACACGTGGGGTATAGCGTGGTGCAGGGGTCGCGCTATACCCCTAACTACCGACCCTTCCTACCTATAAATACCACCATTTTCAATCAATTTGATCACACCAAATTCTCTCAAATTCTTTAAATTTCTCTCAAATACTCTCTTTTTAAGATATATTTTATAATATTTTACTATTATATTTTTACTTTATTTAATATTTTACTAATATAATTCTTTTACAGATATATAATGGAAGGCAGTCTACTTCGCTCGAATGGAAATCATATATCTCTACACTTTGTTGATACAGTAACATTTTAACATTTTAATTTAATTTAATTTATTAGTAATATTTAGTTATTTATTTAATTCATTATTATTATATTAATAATTAAATATCTCGACACTTTGCTGATACGGTAACATTTTAACGTTTTAATTTAATTTAAATTATTATTAATAATTAGTTGATTCATTTAATGCATGATTATTATATTAAGAATTAATTTTTGTAATTATTTATTTTTAGGAGAAGGACCGTGTATTAGATCCTTTTATTAGGAATCTTAAGTTAGTGATACCGAGTCGTGTCTTGCCGTATTTAGTAGAGGCTAGATTCGGTTACATAGGTAGATATCAGGGTCACTGTAAGATAGAGTCAGACCTGATTTCTGCCTTAGTAGAGCGGTGGAGGCCAGAGACCCACACATTTCATCTTCCGTGCGGAGAGTGCACGATCACGCTTGAGGATGTTTCTATGCACCTGGGGCTTTCGGTGAATGGAGATGTGATATCGAGGATAGCTTCCGGTTCTTGGACTGGTTTGTGTCGGGATAGTCTAGGACATGTCCCGGAAAATTTTATCGGAGGTAGGATACTGTTAAATTGGTTAGATGCCAATTTTCGGGAGTTGAGCGCAGACGCCTCTGAGGATGAGGTTAAGATGTATGCACGAGCATGCATACTGCAGCTGATAGGAGGGTTGCTGATGCCGGACAAATCGCGCAACCTAGTTCACTGCATGTGGTTGCGACATCTTAGCGACTTTCGTCTCGCCGGATTATTCAGTTGGGGCTCGGCAGTTTTGGCTTTGCTGTACAGGGAGATGTGTGGAGCCACTGACTACAGGCGTAATGCTATCGGCGGATGTCTCCTGCTGCTGCAGTCTTGGGCATGGTATCGATTGCCCTTTTTATGTCCCCTTGTGAAGAACCCATTCGTATTTCCACTACTTCTGAGGTAATTATAAAACTGATTTTGTATATTAATAATTTTATACAGCGTATAACAAATTTTTTTCCCTTGAATAGGTGGTCTACTGATAGGAAAAATCATTAGGAGCTACCTGATGATTTAGAAAAGATTAGGGTGCTAATCGATCAGAAGGCTGGCACACAGGTATGAATTTTAATGTTTAAAAATCGATTTTAGATTATAGTTATATAATTAGATTATTATTTTGATAAAAAATATATATTATTTGTTTTAGTTTGAATGGGTGCCATATTCTACTGATGATGTGAGGGCGGTGATCCCACCTGAGTTGAGGGGTCCATTAGATGTTTGGATGGCGATGGTCCCTCTGATCTGTTATGCGACCGTCGAGTGGTACTCCACTGATCGCGTGCTTCGGCAGTTTGGTTGTTTTCAACCAATTCTGGAAGCACCTCGCAATATGGATGAGTTACATAGCTTAGATAGACGCGGCAAGACAGATACAGATTGGCTGGTGAGGCATCATGAGTTGGTCGTGTTGTGGGAGGATCGACATCAGCGCCTTCCACGTAGAGAGCCCATTTTTACTGACTTCTTGATGTATGCTGAGGATTATTATGAGTGGTTCAACAGTAACGGGAAACCGTTTCTACTTCCCGAGGATGCACGAGGGCAGACCTTTCCACGACGTTGACAGAGACATTCACCGACACAGCATCATCGTCCCCCGACTCGTGGACGGAGAGTAGGTGCTTCCGGTTC